TTTTTTTTTTTTTTTGGGGGGGGGGGGGATCGAGCCTGAAACCTGGGCTGTGCCCTGACAGGGAGTCCAGCCAGCACGCTCTCGCTCTGCGGGACGATGCTCAGCCACTTAGCCACACTGGCCAGGGCACAATCATCACCTTTGAAAATTTTTCTCTTTAGTCCATTTTCTAAGAATTTTAAACCCAAACAAGGTCCATAATCCCATACCTCATTTTTTCCAATGACATTATTTTCTTTCTTGGTTACAAATGTAATAGTATCTTTTACTCAATCTAAGATACCACTGATTGTAAGATAGACTATTTCCTATCTTTATTATAGTTAGTTTTCCATCTGCCTATGATGTAGAAAGCTGGAAAGAGCAACACTCTAATTCTAACAAGAGATAATCTTAAAAACTGCCAGAGGGGAAAAAAGCAAACTATAGGCAGAGGAACAAAGATAAAAATTACAGAACAGTATAAAAGCCAAAAACAACAGAGAGATAGCTTTAAAGTGCTAAAATAAAAAAAATTTGCCCAGAATTCTACACCCAGAAATAAATCCTTTCAAAAATAAAGGAGAAATAAAGGCCTTTTACAAACAAACAAAAGGTGAAAAAATTACCAGCAGACTTATATTAGAAGAAAGGTTAAAGTAATTATTCAGGCAGAAGAGATTTGATCTCTGACAGAATCTTGGATCTACATAAAGATCTACAGAAATAAACTGAAGGATATATAAAAGACATTCTTCTCTTATTTTTAATCCTTTAAAAGACAGCTATCTAAGGCAAAAACATCAGCAACGTAGTGTGAGGGCATAGAAGCAAAAGTAAAATATGACAACACTAGCCAAAAGGGAGGAATTCAGAGAATGCAAATATCACTGCACTCTTCAGGCACGAATCTCTGTATTCATTACTTACATGATAAAGTCCAAATACTTCACAATCTGGCCTTAAGTCACCATTCTAGTCCTATTTGTACTCCTCCAAGTAAGATGTCCTCCCCTTTGGCCAAAAATAAACTATTCCCACCTTCAGATTATGCCATGGCCTCTTGCATGTCACCTTCTCACTGTGAATCCTTACTCACAATTAAGATCCAGATTAAATGCTACACTGTGATTACTGCTGCAGACACCATTCTCCCTATCAGACTGTATCTCAGAGGGTGTGTGAAGCCTCGGTGCCAGACCTCAACCAAGAGGTTAGAAGTGAATGGATGGATGACGGACTGACAGCAATTTTCCCAGCAGAAAGGGACGGAATCACCTGAAGCCAGCCAGCAGGGATGCCGGGCTTACACCTGGCATTCCAGTCACCTTTAGAAATACCACTTTGGCCGGCCGGCAGGGCTCAGCGGTTGAGCATCAACCTAGGATCCAGGAGATCACGGTTCAATTCCCGGTCAGGGCACATGCCCGGGGTTGTGGGCTCGATCCCCAGTAGGGGGCGTGCAGGAGGCAGCTGATCAAGGACTCTCTCATCACTGATGTTTCTCTCTCTCTCCCTCTCCCTTCTTCTCTCTGAAATCAATAAAAATATATTTTAAAAAATCAAATGTCTGTACAGGTTATTATACATTTCACAATGCCAATGGCTACTACTTACAGCGGCTGGGTGGGCTGATGTCCATTACAGTCAAAGTGGGATTATCTATGTCACTTCCCCTTCTTCTCATCCGACTATCATCGTACTCTGGGGTAAAGATACTGCTTCCACTACTAGTGCTTAAGGAGTGGTCAGTAGGACTGAAACTGACAGGAGACCGGAAGCTGGTCCCCTGGGTTCTTCTAGCTCTTGGAAAAGTTTTCCGACCTACACAACAAAAATATAATCACCTTAAAACTTTTATTAATATGTTGCAATTGAATGTTTTTAAAATTTGTAATGTAAGGAACAGAAATCTATCCTGTGACTAGGCTAAGAAACTGAAACAGCAACAATTATTTGATCATATGTTTTAAACCTAAAATTACCATTTTTTAAAGAGTTCAAGGAAAAATCCTTGTTAATAGTAAATGAGTCAATAATGAAAACACAAGGGGGAAAAAAGGTGAAAGCAGAAATGAAAAGTAGGAAAAAAACAAAACAGGATCTGAATAGAAATTCAAATAATCTCTTATGTTAACACACACACATTCATAAAATCATAGAACAGAACTCCCTCATTTTGGGATTAAAAAGTAGAAAAAATATACCTTAGTCTCATTTCTAATCATGATTTAAAATATAAACCAAAATTGGAAAGTTTATAGGTAGCAATATTTTTTCCTTAAAAGGGCCACACAAGTATGAATTTTATGAAGGAGTAACTTTCTGAATAATATCATTTTTAATTATTCCTTTTCTTCTAAAGGAAAGATAAATATTATGAAGTAAGTTGGCATAAAGCTAAGGTGTTATTATAATTTTGGTTATGACCCAATGTTTTAAAAAAATTTTTAGGCAGAAAACTAAATGAGAAACAAGTTTATTTCTAATAGTATTACTTAAATATGAAATTTTTATTTTTATATTTATTATTTTTGAGAATTTTCACAAACTGTTCTTGTGGTCTGATTGCCAGCAACTTACCATCATTATAGTCTTGATGGTGATATGAAACATGATACCTCCTTGGATACGTTCCTCCTTTCCCAAATTTCTCAAAGATAGGGTTATCATAGTCTACTAAGACACATAAAAACTTGTGTTATTCAAAAAGCCAAATATTTCTTTCAAATAATGAAAACCACATTCACACATTTTTATTTGACTAAAAAAAATTCCCCTCTCCCTGCCACCTAAAACATTATTCAATGACATACACATTAAACATTTAGAATGTGGATAATCTGACCTGAAAATTCCTGGTGATTATCTGGGTAGCTCTGTGCCCTAGGCATTCGTGATTTTGGATAGCTCTCTCTAAAAGTAGAAAAAGTCACATTAAATTGAGAGAATGTAAATAAGACATTATAAAAACTGTATGCAACATCAATATCTGTACGTATGTGTGAAAACCATATATACATAAAAAGGAGCTCACTCTGAAATGTTAACATTAACTGAAAAAAGAGAAGTTTCTTCTTAAACTCTTATTTGGTACATGCAGGCAAAAAGCCTGGCTTTAAAAATGAACCCACTGGGGCCTGGCCAGTATGGCTCAGCAGTTGAGTGTCAACCTATGAACTAGGAGATCTCAGTTCGATTCCCAGTCAGCGCACAGGCCCAGGTTTGAGGCTCAGTCCCCAGTAGGAGACATGCAGGAGGCAGCCAATCAATGACTCTCTCATCAATGATGTTTCTCTCTCTCTCTCTCCCTCTCCCTTCCTCTCTCTGAAATCAACAAAGACATATTAAAAAAAAAAAAAAAA